AAATGTCAGTAAGTATAGGGATAGGGGATAGAATAGAAACGTCGATCCGTATAGTGATATGGGATAGAATAGAACCATCGATCCGTATAGGGATAGGGGATAGAATAGAAATGTCAATCCGTATAGGGATAGGGGATAGAATAAAACTGCCGATCCGTATAGGGATAGGGCATAGAATAGAAATGTCAATCCGTATAGGGATAGGGGATAGAATAAAACTGCCGATCCGTATAGGGATAGGGCATAGAATAGAAATGTCAATACGTATAGGGATAAGGGATAGAATAGAAACGTCGATCCGTATTGGGACAGGGGATAGAATAGAAACGTCGATCCGTATAGTGATAGGGGATAGAATAGAAACGTCGATCCGTATAGGGACAGGGGCTAGAATAGAAACGTTGATCCGTATAGGGATTGGGGATATAATAGAAATGTCAATCCGTATAGGGATAGGGGATAGAATAGAAACGCCGATCCGTATAGGGATTGGGAATGGTATGGAAACGTCGATCCGTATAGTGATAGGGGATAGAATAGAAATGTCAATCCGTATAGTGATAGGGGATAGAATAGAAATGTCGATCCGTATAGGGATAGGGGATAGAATAGAAATGTCGATCCGTATAGGGATAGGGGATAGAATAGAAACGTCGATCCGTATAGGGACAGGGGCTAGAATAGAAACGTTGATCCGTATAGGGATAGGGGATAGAATAGAAATGTCAATCCGTATAGGGATAGGGGATAGAATAGAAACGCCGATCCGTATAGGGATTGGGAATGGTATGGAAAAGTCGATCCCTATAGTGATAGGGGATAGAATAGAAATGTCAATCCGTATAGGGATAGGGGATAGATTAGAAATGTCGATCCATATAGGGATAGGGGATAGAATAGAAATGTCGATCCGTATAGGGATAGGGGATAGAATAGAAACGTCGATCCCTATAGTGATAGGGGATAGAATAGAAACGTCGATCCGTATAGGGACAGGGGCTAGAATAGAAACGTCGATCCGTATTGGGATAGTGGATAGAATAGAAATGTCAATCCGTATAGGGATAGGGGATAGAATAGAAATGTCAATCCGTATAGGGATAGGGGATAGAATAGAACCGTCGATCTGTATAGGGATAGGGAATAGAATAGAACCATCGATCCGTATAGGGATAAGGGATCGAATAGAAATGTCAATCCGTATAGGGATAGGGGATAGAATAGAAATGTCGATCCGTATAGGGATAGGGGATAGAATACAATCGTCGATCCGTATAGGGATAGAGGATAGAATAGAAACGTCGATCTGTATAGGGATAGGGGATAGAATAGAAATGTTGATCCGTATAGGGATAGGGGATAGAATAGAAATGTTGATCCGTATAGGGATAGGGGATAGAATAGAAATGTTGATCCGTATAGGGATAGGGGATAGAATAGAAATGTTGATCCGTATAGGGATAGGGGATAGAATAGAAACGTCGATCCCTATAGTGATAGGGGAAAGAATAGAATATAATTGTTGGTTATTGGAATTCATTCCGTATACACCAATCATATACTTGGGTATATATATATATATATATATATATATATATATATATATATATATATATATATATATATATATATATATACCACATTTTACTCAGATGAGAACTGCCCCATTAACCCTCGCATCAGTTGTGATGACTTTCGTCTCTTTTCGGCGTATATGGCCCCGAATATGATCAGCTTTTGAGTTCATAGTTATCGGGCATATATGACAAATAAATTGTGTCCTTGTTAGGGTTGACTGGATCTTTATGTCCTAAAACTGTATCACCATGTAAATAAAGCAAAAAAAAAAAAAACATGACAGTGTAATTAAAATTGGAAAGGATCGGGATAGCTCGCAAAGTTGTTTTATAATTGTTAAATATCCACGGATTTATCTCATTAAGAATGAAAAGGTTTCATTTCCAGATTTCAGTTCACGAGTAACAACGTTTCTTTCAGTTGCTTGTTACTCATTTGTTCCTTTGAGAAGATATCAAAACGCTTGACAGTCATCTGACTTTTTTTTTTATATAATGACTAAATGGTTTCTCATTGACACGCTTCACCAAAGATGCTTACGGTAGTGGTAATGGTAATATTAACTGTTTCCTTATAAGGAAACATTTAGCATTCATTGACCGAGCAGCCAGTATTACTTTCGCCTGAAATGTATAATCTGTTTCGAACAAAACAATTTTTAGGAAAATCGCTTTCTTATGTCCAGTAACTTAATCTTTCCATTACGGATGTGTGCTTCCTTCCTAGCTTTTTGTTTGAAGTAATGTGGAACGTTGATGTCTGTATATATGTGTGAGTATGTTTGTTGAGTGTGTTTGTGTGTGAATGTACTTATGCGTGTATATGTAGGTGCATATATATGTGTGCATGAATGTATATATATGTATGTGTGCATGTGTGTTTTGTGCGTGTGTGTTTATATATGGCTGGGTGTGGGTGCGTATATATATATATATATATATATATATATATATATATATATATATATGTGTGTGTGTATGTGTATGTATATGTGTGTGGTGTGTCATTATTTTTTCTTCACGTTATATGTAGTATCCATTCTAGTTGTGGTTGTTCTCAAGGGATGTAGTTTCTATCATCTGGTACAGTTCTTAGTGATTCTGTAACTAACGCCACTAGATTCGAAGAAGTTGTTATGGTCCGGTTCCTTGTAACACGGTGATAGTCCAAGGTAGAACCAATAAAGAAGAACTCGAACACAGGTATGGAATAACACATATATTACAAACAGGAATATATACAGAGAAGTAGAAGTGTTAGTACGAACAATCAGGTTTAGTAGAGAGAACAATGTAGTCTCGACCAGTATCACTATTCCAATGTCTTGCAGTAATTGTCTGAACGCGACTCTGTTTCGGACTGCCTCTGACTCGACTCTTGACTCGACTTGAACTACTGGCCCCTTGCCTACTCCTGAGGCGCAGTATTTATTAAGTATGGAATAGTCCATTATTATTATTATTATGGGTAAGACCCCATAACAGAAGTATGGTCATCACTATGTCCTACAGGCTTCATTTGCTCAAAGCCATTCTAATCATTGATCTTAGAAAGCGATTGTATACAGCTGACAGTTTAGATATTTCTGAGCGAGTTTGGTACGACATCCATATGAAAGATTCGATGTGACCAGACTATTTAAGAACATTACTTACGTTCTTAGGTTAACGTTTTGGTGTTGTAGCAATTTTTGGTGTTAGACGAGATTGACGCTAGGTCAGCTCACTCAATGGTCAATTTCCTTATCTCCTATAATAAAGTACTTATAACTGATCCATACAAAATATTCTGACATCAGAATAAAACGATGTCTGTGGTAGAAGAGAATGGGTATTTGGACAAACCACTTTCGCATAATTACCTTACAGGTTGAAGTAATATCGGGAGCAAAGCTGTTACTTCTATCGACAACCTTGACAAAGATGAACGATATATTAGAAATATATTTGCGTGTCTGTTTTTAGTTGGTATTTTATCATCTCACACAGTAGAAAGCTATTCTTATGTGCATAAAACCAGCGTAAAATCGACTATAGTGTAACCCTGATATAAGAGACTCGGATATAAGAGAAACCCGGATATAAGAGATTTTTTCTGGTCCCAAATTAGAGCTTGTGTTAATGTATATAATATAGACCAAACCCGGATATAAGAGACTTCTCCGGTCCCGACAACTCTCTTATATCCGGGTTACACTGTAATTAAAACCAATATTGAAAAAAAATTAAATTTATCCTTTTGAAATAAATGTTAGCATGAGAATTTTGCCTTTAACCAACTCCTAAAATTCTACTTTTATCTTCCACTATTCCTTAGTAAAAAACATGCCCCTTGTTTTTTTTTGTAGCGCAGTTTTATTGCTTTACACAGCCGTTAAGCCCCACAGATGTTACTGCTTAGAGGTGACTCGAGCACTGAAAGGACGTCCCCGTAACCCTTTTCTTTCATCACGAGTGAAAAAAAAAAATGATGGGCCATAACACCCAAAGAGAAATCTTTTAAGAACTTCAAAGCGCAGGGTTCATCTGATCCGCACGAACCGAGTCCGCCCACAGACCTCTAAATATTGACCCCAAAAGAATTCAATGAGTCTTTTGCCTGCAAATGATAGTACCAGTGAGGGCAGGCAGGACAAACATAGACGTATATAAGCACATACATTCCATTCTCCCTCACACTCGCCCTCCCTCTCTCTCTCTCTCACTCTCCCCCTCTCTCTCTCTATCTATCTATCGAGCCCACGCATATAAAAACACCCTCTCGCTTTTGCGCGCACACACACACGCATACACATAGAGATTCTTCCCTTTTTTTTCTCTCAACCCACCCAAACTGACATATCACACACTCTTTTTCACACGCAGTACCCCTCTCACATAAATAAATTCTCTTTCTCTCTCTCTCTGTCTCTGTCTCTCTCTCTCTCTCTATCTATCTATCTATCTTGCCCACACATATAAAAACACTCTCTCGCTTTTGCGTGCACACACACACGCATACACATAGAGATTCTTCCCTTTTTTTTCTCTCAATTCACCCAAACTCACATATCACACGCTCTTTTCACACGCAGTACCCCTCTCACATAAATAAATTCTCTTTCTCTCTCTCTCTCTCTGTCTCTCTCTCTCTCTATCTATCTATCTATCTATCTTGCCCACACATATAAAAACACTCTCTCGCTTTTGCGCGCACACACACACGCATACACAGAGATTCTTCCTTTTTTTTCTCTCAACCCACCCAAACTCACATATCACACGCTCTTTTTCACACGCAGTACCCCTCTCACATAAATAAATTCTCTCTCTCTCTCTCTCTCTCTCTCTCATTCACATGTACTCTTTTTTCATTCTTTCACATTTGCTTTATATATACATACTTCACACGAACACATTCCCTTAGAAATACACACAGGCTCATGGCCACATCACGTTAAAACACCGGCTCGCGTACGCTCAACGAAGTTAAGCAACGTCGGGTCTGGTTAGTACATTTAATGGGTGACCGCTTGAGAATACAAGGTAATGCAAGCTTGGATATGCTAGTAAGTAGTGTAATGGATAATGGCACGCAATCGTTAATTAGAGAGCCGTGTACTTCGCTATATTTACTTACACGCAAATAGCCTCTTCTCTCCCCAGGTACGAGGTAATTAGTAAGACTAAGTACTATCACTAATCCTTATTATCTCCCGCCAAAATTCTTACAATCTAAAAATATTTTCAGACTTTTAGTGACCGAAGCAAGAATTTAAAACGAATCAATAAAAACATATACACACACTTGTCTTTTCTCTCTCAAACACACACACACACACACACGCACACACATATAATCTATCGCTCTCACATACATTGTTTTTCCTTTTCTCTCTCTCACACATATATGTTCCATCACATAAGTAATTTCTATCACCACACTGTTAAACATACACACAGAGACACTTTCGCTTTCACATATACTCACTCACTCACTCCCTTTCATAATTTACTATCAAGAGTTACCTTACTACCTACAGATTCATCAATGATTCTTTTGCTAGGAAAAAGTCATATATAAACAATAATTTAAAATTTTAATGTAAAATTTCAAAACAATCATCACCAGAAATTCCCTGAAAATTACTCTGATCAACAGCCAACTGAAGAAGTCCGTATGACACAACGGTCGAAACTGTGTGATAATTACAACAAAGAAATGACATTAGTCCGATTGTAAATATTGAAAATAATGTCAAACGTTGTGTTATCTGCGTAGTTCATTGTACGTCAAAGAAGTGACAGCAATACTCCATTAGCGTGTTAGTTTTTGTTAATCTAAACAAGGCAATAAAGCCACTGAGACGCAAAGTGGTTACTGAGTGTGTAGAATAAGAAAAAGAAAAACATTATTAAGGAGCGAGAACAATAAAAGAAGAGGAATCAAGAAGACAGTAGATAAAGATTGACATTGCATTTAAATTTTTGAAGATCAAAGTTGGCTGGAAAGCAAGATGCCAGAAGAGAGTTCCACAGACGAGAAGTGCGAAAAAAGAAAAATTTTAGCAAAGAACGTACGGTTGCATCTTGCTAATTCAACTATAAAATGATGAGACCTTACCGCCAATCTAGTACTGCGATTAAATTCATAAGGTCTCGGTACCATAGAGCAAAACCCATCAGAACAATTACTATGAAAGTGTTTATAGAAAAGGCGCAGGGAATCTATTTTACGGCGGTGGGAAAGTGGCTGAAGTCGAGATGCCAGGTCAGAACTAATAACATTACAGATTTCTGTCGAGAAAAATAGTTTAGCATGACACAGTGAACCAACTTTCCTAACAGCAGATCTAACAATTGACGCAATATAATCTTTCCACTTTTTAGCCGAAAACGTTCGCCCCAAAAGTACAACGTGTCACTTTCCTGGAGGTTAGCATCAGTCATGCTGTTGGAATGTAAAATGGAGATTCTCGGGGGGGGGGTGATTAATAAAAAGCAGAGTCTGTCTATATTTATGAGATGAGGTATTATGTACAGTATTTACATTAGTCGGACTATTGTCCTCATCTTTGTCGCCATATTTGTCACAACGTTTCGGCCGTTGTACACTCCGGCCTTCTTCAGGTGGTTGGAATTTCGAACTGAACCCTTTATTTCGATCACTGGGGTAGACTGTTCTAGTTCCACGTGCCATGTTTGATGGATGTCAGTTATCAGTTATCTCTTGGTAAAAAATGGTTGCTGAAAACATTAGGTTTATAATACCCAGAAATTCATACCCAGAGTACACATGGCACAGTGGATAAAGGCGTTGGTTAGATCCAGTGACAGACCCAAAGAGTGTGAGTTCAATACCCGGTTAAGGCAGTGGAGAACTTTCGAAATTCCAACCACCTGAAGAAGGCCAGAGCGCACAACGGCCGAAACGTTGTGACAAATATGGCGACAAAGATGAGGACAATAGTCCGACTAATGTAAATACTGTAATAAAAAGCAGTTTTGTTTTGCAGGCGTTAACAGTAGATTTTTAAGTTTACATCGGGTAATATATACAGATTTATTAATGGCTAGGCTATAAAACATCAAGATTTTTAGTGTTTCTTTTCTTTTCCGAGGGAACAGTTTCCATTATTTAAATTAATTTTTTTTTTTTTTTTTTTTTTTTTTTTTTTTTTTTTTTTTTTTTTTTTTTTTTTTTTTTTTTTTTTTTTTTTTTTTTTTTTTTTTTTTGGTTACTCAATAGAAGGCTCAAGAACCAATCAAGGTAGAGAGTTACTGAATGCGGTTTTTATAGACGTAAGGAATCTAGATTATAACAATATGTAGGATAGATAACAGCTAACCCCCGACTTCAAGAGATTAAGATTGTAGTGGCTAGGAAAGCATACTCTCAGATGTTTGTTCCACAAAGCAGCCGCTGTTGGGAAGAAGCTGTCCGAATGAAACAACTTACCGGATGGAATACGATGGATGGGTCAGACCTTGTGTACATGGAATGGTGGATCTTAGCTGCAGATATCTAATCTGGTGGAATTAGAGAATGTCACTCATCAGGACATTCTCAACGGAAATAGCAACAGAGCAACGGTAAGCTTGCGATGTTGCATCTATGGGAAAAAAGTGGCCGCAGGGTGGGAAATAATCTAGAGAGTATATCTTAACCCTAGAACACTAACCATGGGTATATAGTACCCAGCGCAAATTTTCCTATTTTTAATTACAATTATCAGTAGTTGATTTTCTTACCGAAATAATATAATTTTCAGTTCCTATTAATGTTAACTCAAAGTACCAAGTTTGAAGTGTCTGCATGTAAAATATTTCAAATAAAGATTTATATTTAATATTTTTTTTTTGATATTTTCAAAATCGGGTATGATATACCCATGGTTAGTAGTGGTGTAACGTTAATTGATGGTTAGTGTTCTAGGGTTAAGATCACATTTAATATAGCACCCATATGTTATACTCATCAGGTCATTTTTTTGTCGTATAACCCGACCCTAATTAAAATGCTGGTGTGAATCTTCAATGATTGTTACAGATTGTTACACTCATATTTTGTGTGTGTGTGTGTGTGTGTGTGTGTGTGTGTGTGTGTGTGTGTGTGTGTGTGAGAGAGAGAGAGAGAGAGAGAGAGAGAATGTGTGTTTTAATTTTGGTCAATTCTCAAGTGTCGTGTAAACATTATCTGGATGGCATATCTTAAGATCACATTTAAAATAGCACCCATGTGTTATATCCATCAGGTCATTGTTTTGTCGTATAACCCGACCCTAATTTTTAATTAGGGTCGGGTTATACGACAAACAAAAAATGACCTGATGGGTATAACACATGGATGCTGGTGTGAATCTTCAATGACTGTTACAGATTGTTACACTCATATTTAGTGTATGTATGTTTGTTTGTTTGTTTTTTTTTTTTTTTTTTTTTTGTGTGTGTGTGTGTGTGTGTGTGTGTGAGTGCACCCACGTATGTGCGTGTCTTAATTTCGGTCAATTCTCAAGTGTCTTTTGCATCCGATAAAACATCAACAAGTGCGTTTCTGGCAATCAGAAAGTTTGTGGGCACATGATTTATTTGTTTCGCTTGAGCAGAACTCTTCAAGTGAATTTATTCAAATATTTTTATAACACTTTATTAAATAAAATAAATTAAAATACTACTAAACGGAACATTTTTCTAAAAGAAACGTAGTCACAATGACAAGGTAATTCAGAAATAATCTCCATAGATTTAATGCAGATTAATTCTGCGGTTATCATGACTATTAAATCTATCAACAAACATTCTAAGTCAATTCTCCCAGCTCGCGAACATTCAATCGACGGCAGTGCGACGCCATTTCACATGGAAAAAATCATTTTTAATTATAGACAATATCAGCTCTCAAACAGGACAAACTTAAATTCTTTCCCTCTCAGACAAAACTTCCCAAATCAGCCACCAAACATAGATGAAAACGTCTACTACACGCTCAAACGTAGGCATGAACACAAACGATACATTATCATCCGAATCCCGCATGGACAAACTAGAATTAGAATACACATACACACATGAATTATACACACGCACACTGTTTGACAGGAGATTTTTTCTTCTCCATATTTCATTTTCTGATGAAGTTTAAATAAAATCGAAACATGTTAAATTTGTAAACGTTTTCTATATTGTTCTATCTGTCGGATTCTAATCCATATATGGTCCATATGTGATACCAATTCATAACGATATATATGTTTATATATCAAGAAAAGTATTGAGGAAATTGTATGACAAAGTGGAAAAAGTTTACTTGTGACGCGTTTCGTCCTTCTGGGCTTCATCGGACTAAATATGTTATGTTGGGTCACTAATCCCACACTCAGACGCTAACAGGCTTCTTTTAGACACCCAGGAGCGGTCCCAAAATTCCGGGAGTTATCTAAATTCTGTCACGACGATGTGACAAGTTGATACGTATTTAGATGAAATATTTTATTCTCTGTCAGTCACATTTGACCGCCTTTACCACCACTTCTGCTGATGCTTAAGCTTTGCTGTCATTTATTTATTTATTAATGTCTCCGGTATGGCATTTGTTTCTATACTAGACACAATGCCTTAATAGAGTACCATACATGCTGATTCCTTCAGACGTCTGATTCTCAAGTCCTCTCTGACTAGTATTTTTACCTCATGCAACGAGAGTTGGTGACCATGATATTTTTCTTTATAAATGATCAGCTATGACTGATTCTATTGTCTTACCCATAATTACGGGTTTTCAATATTCCTCCAAAATAAATAGGTTTCTGAAGTCCAGTAGCTGTTATCACTCTTTCCATTATTGATGGGGGTTTCCTTCCTAACCTTTTGTTTGAGGTAGTGTGGAATGTCAACATCTTAATTATGACATTTTCTCTTCTCAAGCCCAGTAGCTGTTATCGCTCTTTCCTGTATTGATGGGGTTTTCCTTCTTAACCTTTTGTTTGAAGTAGTGTGGAATGTCAGCATCTTGATTATGCCATTATTTCCTCTTCAAATTTCATGTGATATTCGTTT